GTAGAAATTTCATAACTGCCTCGCGTGTGAATTCACGGCTCATTACACATGCAAGAATGCAGAGATCAATCTGAAATCTACAACCAACAACGGATTCAACTTTTGAATATTAAATTCATTAATGGATTCTTGGGGGGTACGCTTGACCTGGTTTGCCTGTAAATCCCGGGCTTAAAATTTATTCAGTGTCAGGACGCTTATACAGAGGTACGTTAGTTGTAGTTTTGTTTGTTTAATCAATAACCTCTTCGTGATTGCATCAGCTGTTTTGACCATATCACACGTCACTTGTCACGCAGCCATGAAATTTAATTTCACTTAAATGAGATAAGCTTAAAGGGCACCTCGATGTATTTTCGTTCTTTCTGGGGCGGAAAATAAGGTAATCTTAAATGTGTAAGTTATGTAATTTCACCGAAAACTATATAACCATTGCCATTTTTTATCCTATCCGACCGTGCAATGAATCACTGAATGAATGTAAACTCCTCTTTATGACTGTTCTTTGTCATTCCTTTAAGCTAATGTGAGGTAAAATCCCAGACTTAAATTTATTCAGTGTTAGATGATCTTAAATTAACGGCCTGTGAAACCGTTGTTATGTTTTCTTAAAACTCTTTGGGATGTCACTGTTTCTTCTTTGTATGCTCGGCGGTCTTCAGCTTGAATTGGAAGATGTTTTGCACTGCCTTTTGCCTGGTTTTTCCAGTGCCTGTGTAAAGAGCTGATTTGATGCAGATTGTTCGGGCTCACCTCTTTGTATTTTATTTAGGGTGTTTTAAGAAAATCTGAAGGACCTATTCTCCCTCTCCAATTGAAATAGCTATTCCTTTAAGGCTTTTCCATTTTGTAGATTCCTATCTTTGAGCGTGTAAGAATAATATAAATATGATGTAAATAAGGAGGTCATTAAGCCAGTGCTCGAAATGATTTTTGAACAGTGCTGGTCATGTTGACAGGCCAAACAAATTTTAACTTGGACCGGTCAAAATACATTAAAAACTCGCGTGTAAGAACCCGCATTTCCCTGGCTTGAACAGCTTAAAAATAGTTATAATTGCAAACAAAAAATTGGGTATTTTCCAAAACAAATAGGTTCTTTTTTAACTCTGAAGGAAAAAGAAAACGTTGTAACTAAGAGTACTTAAAGTGGTCTTCAGTTGGGTTCCTGAATATTTTATAAGTGTATGGAATTTTATTATATAAACACCAATGGAAAATTAATACCAGTTGAGCTTTTGCACGAAAACATGATATCTTCACACGTGAAAATAACATGTTATTTCCACATGTGAAAATATCACCGTTGCTATGGCTACATGATAAACCGCGTCTTTTGCAGTATAAAACTTACAGTTTCAGTGAAATGGATTGGTATTTCATTGGTGTTTATATAATAAATAGAACATTACATGGCTGCTTGGAGATACGAAATTTCTCTTCTCATGTTGAAAATATTTCACTCGTTCGCGCGATTTTTCAACACTCGAAGAGAAATTTCGTATCTCGGCGCAGCCATGTAATATCCTCTATTTCTGATATAGATTGAAGAAAATATGAACATGGCTCAAATATATGTAGGATAAACAGGTCTAGCATAGAGGGGGCCTAACTGGCAATTTTTTTTTTTATTTTGAGGAAAAATTATGCCAAAGAATAAAAAAAGAATTTTTCTCGGAGAATGAAAAAATGTGATTAGGCCTACTCTGGGACCTAAAGTCGCCTAAAGTCGCCCAAAGTCGCCTAAAATCGCCTTAAGTCACCTTAGGTCGCCTTTTAGTTGCCTTAAGTCACTAAATCATTCAAATCTCAACGAGGTTCAAATTGTCGTGCAGTTATTACTTTTTTAGTTTTCTATTTCCAGAATGAATGATTTCTCATAAAGTGTGTAATAACCCGTGTTCAATAATATTAGCCACAGACCCACCCCACCCCCCACAAAAAAACTCTCACGGTGACTTAAGACCCATTAATTTCTTCTCCAGCCCTCTAATTTATACATTTAATTACTTTACACAATTTACTACACGTAATAATTAGTCGTAAGCAATACAAGAATAATCATTCCTGTATTGTTTATGCAAAAATGACAACATACAGTACACAACTTTATCCAGTCACTTGTACAGGTATTTTAGCTGTGATTAGCTAATAAACAATAGAAATATATCAGAACCAATCAGGTGCCACAATCTGCTGGTAACCCCATGGGAAGCCAGGCAGGTAACTTGACGTTTGCGAGTGGAAAAATAGCTGGCATGCAAAGCAATTTTTAGTTCTGTTACGACAAAATACTATTGAACAATTGAAAACCAAAACCAAATATAAACGTTGCAAAGAGGACCATATATTGATTTGATGTTTGAAGCTATTGTACAAAGAGAAAGGATTTTCCAAGAAAAGTGAGAGTTTCTAGCATACCGACCCCAACAAACTGCTTGGTCGAGTCCTTCTACACCAAGACTCATGAGTAATAAAAACAAACAAGTGGGCAACTATGAGCCCAAAATTGTCTGAAAATTAATTATTATGACGGCCATGGACACGCATTGAAAGAGGAAGGATACACCTGTCCATAACTAGGGACAAACAATTCAGTTCCTTGATATTGAGATGCTAAAGCCAAACGACTAAGTATAGCCTGTTGCAAAATTAAAGCATAAAAAGGCAGGAAAGTACGTGTAAATTATTATTTCATGTATATGATTAAAAAGTAATCATGTGACTTTTCTCACTCAATGTGGAATTTATTTGTACTCATGTGTTTTTCAAAAAGCTTGAATTGCATTCGTCCTTTAAAGGGCTCATTCAGTTAGGATACTTCTTGAAAAACACAAATTGAACTCAAAGGCGAGTGACTACTTATACAAACACTTATGCCCCATTCACACCAACTAAACATGTATTAAAATAAAAAACAGACAGAAAATTGGACCTCAGATTCTCACACAGGATTCAAAATAATGACCTTCAACCATTCTGGTAATTTGCAAGACACTTAGTCAGTAAGCAGCTATTATAAAGCAAACAATTTTTACTGTGTTTTAATAAACAACTTTGTTTAAGCTTTGGTGTGAATGGGGTTAAGTATTTTGTTGAATATAAATGAACAAGAAAAGGGAAAACAAGTGATAACAATAATTATCTGTAGTGAATCATGTCAACAAATGCCTGTATAAGATCCATGCAAATAAGGGAGCGGACATGCGGAGAAAAGTACACCCCCTTTAGGATAGCTCCATGGTGAGAATAGGTTCAAAATAGTTGTAGCACAGCATGAAGGTCCTTTCTACAAGTACAATTTGTAGCAGTTTTCTTTGAAAAATGAGGTAATTTTGGTAAAGCGTGTGATAGTCAAGATCTATACATTACATCACAAGACTGATGACTGGTTTATGAAATCTCAGTCAGTAGTTATCACCACTTAGAAAACGATTTTCAAGCCTTGTTCTTTTATCTAAGGTTTGGAAAATGTAAATATTGTGTATTTCCTTTTTGAAATCAGTAACACAAGCACCATTACGTAGGCAGGCTGTAGCCTGCATCTATTAGCGCAAGAGTCACAGTTCTATCAATTCTTCTCCTGTAATTGAATACCCATAACAACTTCACTTATCCCTCAGGCATGCTAAAAAGAGACTCCACTAGTGCCAATTAGCTTATATTGTGTTGTTGGTAAATACAGATAATTCATTTACTAGGAGAAGAGATGGAAAGGGACACCCTTGCAGTAGAAAATGCCCCAAATGAGGGAGCAAGCAATGTGCAGGAAACACAGCAACCTCCTCCAGAAGTAAATAATAGTAGCCAGTTAGAAGATGACCGCCTAATTGCTAGAGCAAGGGCAGTTGGTGTGGACTATGAGTTTGCAAAGCCTGGTGAATTGGAACCGAAGGATTACAGGCGAAAAAGACAGCGGCGAAACCAAAGAAGAATATCAGAACAAGAGAAAAGGTTGCGTGAACTTGTTGGAGATCTACCACCTCCTCCACCAGCAGGGTCAAGTCAGCAAGAAGATAATGCATACAGTGCTATTCGTGCATTTGAGGTGGAGCAGATGACTTATGCATTCTTTTTTTGTGAGGTCTGCAAGGAAAGGCGACTGGAGTGCAAGGGCACGAGAAACATGTGTACTCGCTGCAGAAGAGATAAGAAGGTGCCAAAAGTTTGGTCAGGTGAGAATAACATGGATCCAATGGCTGTTCCTGAGATTTTGTCTAACATGTCAGATGCTGATAGCCAGGCTAGCACCTACTGTGTATGTACACCTACTGAAGCATGGAAGTATTGCCTCAAAGGGACATTGCATTGCTTTCCCACAGGCTGTGCAAGAACCGGCCACTATTCTTCCACGCCTACCAGCAGAAGTGGATATCATACGCGTGAGAAGACGAGGAAAAGATGATACCCATAAGGACTTCAGGGTTAGAAGACACCGTGTGGAAGGAGCTGTTTGTTGGCTCAAGGACAACAATCCTGCTTATGGTGATGTTGTTATTGATGGCTCTCGCATAGAGAATTTACCAGAAGATGGTGAGTTGCCGAATTTGAGGACTGTTGAGTTCTCTGAAACAGAACGCATAGACGACCAAGGTCCTGCACCACAACAATTGGATGTTGGGGAAACAGACAGTACTGATGATTCAACAGTCTCTGGAATTATTCTTCCTGAGCCTGGAGTGAATGCGCAAGCACAAGTAGAAGCAGCCATAAATGAAGTTGTTTGTGAACCTCAGGAAGGTGAAGCTGGAGAAGCACAACGAAATGTGCAACGACCAGTGATCCCTTGGCCGACCACGGGCACAACACCAGCATCAGAGTTTACCACTCCCTACTTTTTTACGATGGCATTTCCTTGCTTGTTTCCATATGGAAAGGGTGATTTCCACATAAACCGTCCGGTGACGTGTCCCACACTGCATAACTGGACAGAGCACCTGCTGTGGTACCAAGACGGAAGGTTTGCGAGGCATTAAGTCTGGAAGTTTGTTGTCCACAATATGATCATGAGGAAGCGTGCCCTGGAGCAGAGCCGGTTCTTTGTTGATCAGCAAGTTGGTAACCCACACATAACTGTTGCAGACCTGCAAGAGCGACTTGCGAGAGGTGACACTTTTACCGACAAGTTGTTGTATTTTGGCGCAAATCTGCGTGGTACAGCTCAGTACTGGCACCAGAGACGCACAGAGCTTCGCGCCCTTGTGGAGTTCATGGTCAATGAGAAGCGTGGGTTGCCTTCATTTTTCATGACTGGAAGCTGTGCCGAGTTTTACTTTCCTCCTCTTAGAAGGCTACTGGAAGAGTACATCTTGCAGACCAAAGGCGAAGAAGTCAACCTTGCTGAAGATAGCAATGCCCGCTTCAAGGCAGCACAAGAAAATACTCATGTAGTGGTGATTTACTTTGACCTGCGTACCCAGGCTTACCATGAGAAGATACTGAAGCCGGTATTTGGTGTCTCTGATTATTGGCACCGCTATGAATTTGTCAAGTCCCGTGGTCAAATTCATTGGCACCAACTCAGCTGGAGGGAAGACAGGCAACCACTTCAGCTATTGCATGAAGCTCGTGAAGATGGTTGCGAAGAGGAAGAGTATGCAGCTAGACTTAGGCAGTGGGCAGATGAAACCTTTGCAATGACAGCATTACATCCAGCTGGCAATGACGAAGAAGGGCAGCCAAGAAAAGACCTCTGGCCACCACCTGAGGGAACGGCTGAGCACATATCAGATGACAGGGATCCCTTAGTTAAGATGCTAATGCAGATCGCAGCAACACAAGATGCAATACTGGAGGATCATTTGCTTTTAGTAAACAGGGTTGGACTCCACAGTTGCTCTGATTACTGCTTGAGAACACCTCGCCATCCGGAGCAAGGACTGCAGCCGAGAGAACGTGTATGTCGGATGGAGTTTGGAAGCGATTTCCACCAGGGAAAAAAGTGCACAGTAATCCGGAAATTGTGGAAGATCATAACGGAGCTCCCCGCCTGGAGATGCCTCGTGACCATCCACGTGTGGTTCAGCATTCTCGTTATCAGTTACAATCGTTGAGAGCAAATGGGGATGTAAGCTTGATTCTTTCCAATTCCCCTCCAGACAGTCCTAACACTGATGATATCATAGCCATAATCGACTATGTGTGTGGTTATGCTTGCAAAGATAGCGAACCCACTGGTGCAACTTCTGATCTCTTTAAGGACATGGTAAATGCTGTTGATGCAGCTGATGCAGACCAAGTGACAGGTAAGTCAGTGTGTGCTAAGATGCTGATAAAGACCGTGGGAAGACGAGATATCAGTGGACCGGAGGCATCCTTTGAGCTGAGTGGCCTAGCACTTTGGCGATGTAGCCGTCCATTTACTTATTTGTCAATGTCGGGGTCAAGGAGACTTGAACGTGATGGTGAAACTGCAACTCGCAGCACCCCACTGGATAAGTACCTTGCACGACCACGAGATGAGCACTGTTCTTGGTACCACTTTGCATCGAGGAACGGTAATGTCCCTGTTGTAAGTGGTGGTTCTACACACGCAACATGGCCACTGAATGAGGACTACTGTAGGATTATGCTCCTGCTACACTGGCCAAGCTGGTTTGACATCCAAGAAGTGAAGGGGGATGCTCAATCTTGGATTGATCGCTTTAAGGACTTTTTTGCAAGTGATGACTGTCCAACATTTGTAAAGGCCCAAGTTGCTAAGGCACAGCGTTATGCAGACCACCCACAAGAACCAGTATTTGAAGAAGATGAGGAAGATGATGCTGTCGAAGCAGAAGAACAACCAGACGGGGTGGATGTATATGCAGGGCAGAACCAAATATATGAGGGTGTAGAGAGGGACTTTGATTATGATGATGGTTGGGAGGACTATGACTAGAGTAGTACCCGTGTCATTCTTCCTGAAGGAGAAGACCCAACAAAATGGCTTCAAGAAAGTATTAAAGCAGATGATGAACAGCAGACAGAAAGTGCAGACCTTGATTTACCTCAGGTGTGTCCATTATCTCTAAATGAAAATCAGAAAGCCATAGTGAGTCTAGTTTTGCTTGCCCTGTACAACTTTGTTGAAAACACTGAATATTACCATCCACTGCGGCTTGTTGTCTCTGGAACTGTTGGTACAGGAAAGTCATATGTCATCAAGTGTCTCCAGAGGTTAGTGCGGCAAGTTTTTGAAGCCAATGATGCAATACAGGTGATAACTCCAACGGGGAATGCTGCCTATCTTGTTCACGGCAGTACTGCTCACAGTTTTCTTGGAGTACCAACAGGTGGAAGGTCTGGCAATGAGTTGACTGTAGCTACAGGTCCCTTACTAGAGAAAATTCAGAAAAAGTGCGAAAATCTGAAAGTTCTGGTTGGTGATGAGCGATCAATGTTTGGACGTACAACAATGGGCTGGATGGAACAGCATGCACGTTATGCAATGAACAAAGGAGCCAATGCAGATGACTTATGGGGAGGGATTCCTGTGGCAGTGTTTATGGGAGATGATGTTCAGCTTCCTCCTGTGTGTGACACCCCCGTGTACATCTCAGATTGTCGTAGTGCACCATCTAACCACGGTCGCTTGGTTTGGACAATGTTTGATAGTGCTGTTGAGCTTACTCAGATTATACGGCAGAATGAATCTGAACAACAGCTGAGAGACGTGCTGATGTCACTAAGAAATTATACGACAACACCCCAGCAAATCCATTGGCTACAACAGTTTCAATGGCACAATCTCCGCATGTCGCATGGCCCAGAACTCCTTGCTAGGATGGATGAGCAAGGACTGTATGTATTTCCCACGCACCGTCTTGAATGGCAGCGTAATAAAACAAAGCTGCTTGAGTGTAACAGACAGCCAAACCACCCAGTAGCAAAGATCAAGGCAGTTGACAATGGCGGACATGCAGTGAAGGCCGACAGTCATAAGGCGGGAGGATTGTTACCTCTACTGTATCTTTGCCGTGACAGCAAAGTCATGCTGGTGGTTAACTTAAAGGCCGATTGGGGTTTGTACAATGGGGCAGTAGGCACAGTCGTAGATATTGTGTACAAAGATGGCCGCAGACCTACTGATGATCCTGCTCCTCTACCTGATGTGGTTCTGGTGAGGTTTCCAGGATACAGGGGGCCACCATACATTAATGAACATCCGACAGTTGTGCCAATTGTACCGGTAAGTCGTTCTACTGAATGCGCATGCCGATGCAAGCGTCTGCAGGTTCCATTGCGACTGGCATGGAGAACAACAATCCACAAATGCCAAGGTATGACTGTGGGCACCGGAGAAGCATTCAGGTATGTAGTGGTTCACCCTGGGGACCATGGCTTTGAAGCCAGAAACCGAGGAGCTCTATTTGTGGCATTTTCAAGAGCAAAATCGGCAGGTGGGGAAGGAAGAGATCCTGATTTTGCTTTTTATGAAGATGTTCTGATAAACAATGACAGATTCAGACCTAGGCCTGTGGACACTCCAACTACAAGAGCTAGAGCAGTGGAGATTGAGAGACTGCATGTCTTAGCAACTCAGTGTCGACAGAGAAGGGTGTTAGCCCCAGCAAATAGGGAGGAAACATTTCTCAGACTCGTAGAGTGGGCTCAGTCTGAAGATCGTCATTGAAACATGTGGTCTACTGTCGACAAAGGTAATAATTGTTTGAGAGATGAAGGCCTTAGCATGGTGGTGTCTTGTTTGCAATCATAATTTATCTTCAAGACATTTGCCGTAATGCCTATGTTGTAATGAATGATATCCAAGCATGGCCAATAACAGTGCAGTTATGCTGTAATCAGCCTGTGTGGCTGAGGGCCTTTGTGGCTATGGATAACAAATAAAAGTGCCGTTATGCTGTAATTAGCCTCTGTGGCTGAGGGCCTTTGTGGCCATGCATAAAAAATGAACAGGCCGTTGCTGTAATCAACCTGTGTGGACAAGGGTTTACTATGTGGCGAGGCCTAACAAATATACATGCTCTTAAATTGATGTTGGGCTAAGGGCTTGTGTTGAATGGGTTATTACTCCAAAAGCTGAAAGAGCCATTTCTTCAGGCAAAAAGTAATTGCTTGCAATAATTTCATTGTAGTAATATTGTTTTGCTAAATCTGCTTACTCTATTTAACTTACAGTAAAACCTGCATGTTTGATGAACCTACTTTTGGAAATACAGTGAACTCTTCCCTTGCGTACACCTCGCTATAACTCAAAACTGAGACCCTGATGATACCGACAGTAGCTTAATCCCAAGCAAAAATAAATTACAGAAGTTTGACTATAATTAACTCCCACTGCTACAGACTCTCACTAATGAGGACACCAACTCAAGCCCCCTACATTTTCCCCTATAAAGGGAGTTGACTGTATGCCAAAGAAGGTTTTTTGTACTTTCGATGGTTATTGGCAATATTTACGCATACATGCAGTAGATTTAATTGTAATGTAGTCTTCAAGCACCAGAAAAATAATTAATGTGTTTCCTCCTAAAATCCTTAGTTCTCTCTGGTTGGAAAGTTAATCATATAATAACCTGCTTTTTCTTTGTTGAGTTAAAACATGTAGGTTCTGGTGTTTTTGTTTTTTTAAAATGAACCATTTCTACTAGAAGGGAGGGTTTTTTAAGTAAACCACTACTTTTACATGCATGTTGGTTTTTACTGTAGTTTATTTATTACTGATTATTAAACTTCATTGTAGTGCCATTCCCTCAATAATGAAAATTTTTTCCTTTTTATCTGCATGGTGTATTTTTCTGTTATAAACATTTCATTTTAATTTATTACATGTACGTGCCAGAGAAATGTCTGAGGGGGGTTTCAATTTGCTAGTTTACACCTTGCATATACAACAGGGTCAGTATTTAATTAACAAAATATAGTAAAGTTAAGTATCAGTCATTAGTAATAGATGAATATTGTAAACACCAGGGCCGGGTTGTTCAAAGCTGGGTTAAGATAACCTAGGGTTAGTGCAAAATTTGAATTCAGATGTGAAAGCTTAAGAAGTAGATTCAATTTAATTCTTCTTATCAACAAGTTGATGATTGAATGCTCTTAAGAATAACAGAGAAAACTATCCGAGAAAATGCTTTTAAACAAAGAAAAAGAAACCACGGTTAAATTTAACCCTGGGTTAAGCGCTAATCGGCCTTCGAATAACTGGGCCCTGTTGTAAAAAATTCTATGTGATCGTTCTTGTAACTAATCAATAGCTAGGTATGGTAAATGTAAAGAATACCAACGACTTATTGAAGTAAAAAAATATTATGATAACAACTACAGAGAAATTAATTGCTCACAACTTCACAGTAAGTTTTTCAGAACATTGTACCTGTTCATCAAGCAGATGGTCTGATCTTCTGGATTTATTCTCCTGAACTGCTGATTCCATAAACAATCTTTAGCATTCAATTCCGTAAACAATGATGACATGTATACTAAGCATACAGTGGTTATCCCCACATGAACAGCTTCAAGTGAAAAATCATGACGTCTATGCCTTTGCTCAAAGTGACCAGTCCCAATGGTATTACTACAGAAATTCTAATGGCTGGTGCTCCAGGTATGTCATCATCATTACCAAGATTAATCAAGCATGTACTGTATCGATAACAGTTTCATTTCATCAGCTTGGACGCTATAGACATTACATAGATTATGTGCATGGCCACAGTTTCAAAAACTCATAATTGAGAAGTATATACATACTGAAATCAGAACCTACTGTGGCAATTGGGGAATGACCACATGAATGGCTAACTACTTAAAACAGGCTTTCTTTTCACAAATTATGGCAAAGGTTGCATCATAACTCTGAGGATATATTCTCTGCAATTATCTACATTCTGCAGTTCCAGTATATGACAATCATGAATTCATTATTTTCTTGTGTGCATTCTTTGGTACCATGGATAAATTAATCTCCCCTTGCTGGAAAACAGTATTGATGGTCATTGTCAATATCCCAGTCTTAAGCGATGGCATTCCATAAGGCTCAATTCTTGCAGTGTTATTGTTCATGGATTTACAAAATGATCTTCCACCGTGTTTAAGATAGATAGATAGATAGATAGATAGATAGATAAATCGTTTATTAAAAAAGAAACACCTCGCAGTCCGAAGACTGAATTACGTGTATAATATACAAGTTATAGGTAAAATGGATTTAAAAAACCATAATAATAAAAATGCACAAATCTAACAAAAACATTTCACTTAGGATAACCTTGTGTTAGGAAAATATAGATACTTAAACAAATTTATTTATATTCTTAGGCTATGGTGATAAGTCAACTGTTAATAGTTATGATGATGACACACTGAATCATCCTCTTTGGCTTCTCCCACTATTCTGGAGAGTACTTTACAGAGAGAACATCACCAAGTCCTACAAGAATATTATCATCCTTCAAAAGCAAAATGCTTATCAATATCCCAATACCGTCTCTGTCCTGTTCCCTTTACATCACAACATCACGGAAAACCATATTGACGACTTAATCAACAGAATACTTACCTTGCAAAATTGGAATATTTTACACCATAACAATAAACCTCTCACTCAAATAGTGGAAGCTGTTGTATACATTTTGGATTAATTCAATAATGTGATATGTAGCAGCTTGGTTTATGGCTGCTGACCATTTGAAAACATAAACGGATTAGCAACTGATGCAGGGATGGAAGCGGAGTAACGTTGAAAAGACTGATCCAGTTACTAATCACACAGGTGAAACTCAGCTTTCTGCAAATTAATGCTGTGGTATATACAAGAAAGTCAATGGGGAGAACTTGTTTATTGGTGGTATCCTCACAAGATAAACAGAGCTAGCTGTATGCAAAATACACAAAGAACGGACATAATCTTTTACGTGTAACCAAGATACGAACAAG